TGTTGTCCCTGTATCATCAGCCTTCCCCCCCCCCCCAGTTTAAAGCTGAAGTGTGTAATTTCTTTTGTTACCGCAGTTTAACCAGATAACTATAAGTAGGTTAATTCCCCAAAAACTGTAAACACGGAGCTATTAAAAAGCTAATTTGAGCATAATTCAACCTGCTCATCCAATCGCATGAGTTTAGGACTGTGTTTGGGAAAATGGTTCGAAAATGACTTTCATGCTGCATTCCAAACAAGATAACCACCTCTGAAGGGCACTTCAGAAAGAAGAATTTCAAAGGGTACGACTGACACTGTGCTCCCATGATTTTTTGCACAGTTTTAAATATGTGACTACGACTTAATTTGCTTGGCAAGATGACGCAGAAGTGCACACTCAGGAGGGTAAACCCTTCAAAGGGATAACATTGGGATGAGCCCTTAAAAAGTGTGAGTGAAAGTGACATGTGGCCATGTCCGACCCATTATTCCAACCCATACTCAGAATTAGTGCTCTGCATTTATCCCATCCAAAGTGCACACACACAGCAGTGAACACACACCTGGAGCAGTGGGCAGCATTTTTTTTTTGCTGTGGCGCCCGGGGAGCAGTTGGGGGTTCGGTGCCTTGCTCAAGGGCACCTCAGTCGTGGTATTGAAGGTGGGAAAGAGCGCTGTACATTCACTCCCTCCACCTACAATCCCTGCCGGTACAAGACTCGAACCTACAACCTTTGGGTTACGAGTCCGACTCTCTAACCATTAGGCCACGACTTCCCTAGAAGTCGGATAGAATGCAGCATTGTAATACTATTTGTTGACGTGTGCAGAAATTATACACTCAGCTTTAATTCCAGCTTCTTGGGACATTTCAGGTGCAGAAAGTTTTACACAAGGAATTGTGTCAGGATGCACCGTTACATGTAGCACCAGGAAAACTCAACTGCATCTGTAATTACACATTACAAAGTCACATTTTCAGAATGATACACTTTTCATATGTTGATTGTGCATATAAGCCAGGCTTCAAGAAAACATCTGAAAGAGGCGTCAACACTCACAGATGTTTTAGAAAGTGTTACATTTACTGTCAATGACAAGTACTTTATAAACCACAAAAAGCTCCACAGGACAGCAAATAACAGCACTCCAACATCTTACAAATACAAAGACACAGAGTTCAAAATGCATAAACTATTAGAAGTGTGCGTTTCAGTTAGCTTGGCCAGTCTTCAGAGAAACAGTCATTTTGAGTCAAAGGTTCTCAGACATCTTGGATGGCAAAGAAAATATTTAAATGTGCAGTGTGTAATTTCGACAATCTGTTTGAATGGCTCAAAAGGACACAACGTAACACTGGCTCATCCAATGGTGCGATTTAGGGGTGGTGGTGCTAGCTTTCTGCTGAGAAATGGCAGATGGGGGAGTGTTTGAAAGGATTCCATTTGTGATTTCTTGAATACTGAACACATGATTGGTTTGAATGAGGAGGATTCCTCTTCGGGTTGACATTACGGCATATAGAAAAACAACAGTTTAAACTGCATTGTGTTGAAGCAGGACTGAGAGCCATTTGAAAGCCCTGTTTGGTTCAGTTTGTCGCTGGTCACCTAAAGTTCTGTTTCCCCTGAGATCCTACATATGCGGCATGGAAATTGGATTCAAATCCAATGCTGGATCCAGGGAGCTTTTTACCCCACAGAAGGGATACTCACTGTCAGTCTGTGTCCATGTCCACTCGATGCGGACTACAATGTAATGTCTTATCCACTGTCTCTTCAGCTCTAGAGAGAGACACACAATATGTGTTATCTTAGATTTGAAACCCTGTGTGAAAAGTGTCATTTTAAGAAATATATAATTATTCATTTGACTGCACTAGTTGAAGGAATGTTCCAGGATCGGCATGTCTATTTAACGTAATCTGTAAAACCGTATGAACAGGAAAGGACTAAATTTGCAAGCTTGGGGTCGGTAAGAGTTTTTTTTTTTTTAATGTTTTTAAAGGTTAACTTTTAAAAGGCTGCAGTTATTTGATCAAAAATACAGTAAAACCAGTAATAGTGTGAAATATTATTACAATTTAAAGGTGCAGTAGGAGATCTTGGAAAATGCTAACTTTAGCCTGATAGCACTGAAAGCGAACGTCCCACCCTCGCTGCAATCGCAGTCCAAAGCCACGCCCCCTTAACGCATTTACGCTCACAGACCAGAACACCAGAGACAACATTACTACAATAGGCTACATCAGCGGTTCCCAATTCCAACCCATGTTCCGAAGTGAGGTAAACGTCAACGGATT